ACGGCTCGATTCCAGAAAATGTTAGGCAAGTAGCCCAGGCAGTCACTATAACATTGTGGGTTTTGAAAGTGTGGGTAAAACGCATCACAGAGAGCATTTGATAAGGAATACTTCATCACCCATCCGGAAGAGGTTAGTAGAAATACGAGCGCTTTTTCTATTAATCCCAAATGTTTGATGTGAGTATGTACCTGAGAAAATTCTAGAGCTAACTCTTCATTTATTGCTGATTTCCTGCAAAAATACTTCAGAGTTGCTTTCCAGCAGAAAAGTGCTCACGATACCACGAGCAGTTGTTTACTGGTCGCTTCGGATTACTCCGTAGAGTGGATAAACCAGCCTTCCAAGATTCTAACCATATGTAATGACTGGTTGAGGGAATTCTGCGTGGCTGCGCTAATAACCGCATAGTTAGCCACTCAAGTCTCCATCCAGTTTTCCACGAGAGCTCTTCCCATCCCTCCCCCACTCAATCTCCTTTTCTTCCCCTGAACCTTTTGCGGTGAGAAGAGGGAGTGGTTGACTTTGGAATTACACGCTCTCTTGGCTGCATGGCATTCGTGCTGTGAATCTCTTGAGGTTTGACCAGAGCTGAAAGAAAGAAAGCTTATGAAGTGGAATACAACGTTGATTCTAACAATTATAAAGGCATCTTGATAGCCACCTTCCACTCCCTCTCATCGATCCAGCCAAAGCTTTTGGTTTTTCTAAGAAACAATTGAAAAATCAGTATGGACGAGCAAGGTGGTTATTGGGTAAGGATAGCCAATGGCCTGGGATATCTACCATCCCATCTCATGACACGTGGAAACATGATGCAGTAGGAGTCCCTTAAAGCGTGAAGTAAGAAATCGAGGAAATTCACAAAAATAAAGTAGGAGGGAAAAGTAAAGAAAATCAGTAAATCCTAAAACTAAGTGTGTCCAAAGAGCTAATAGATAGTCTTGGGAGTCAAGCTCCAGGAGACATTTGAGATCTGAAAGAGACGACTAGATAATCCCAGGGTCTCTCGTAAAAACGATTTCGAGTTTCTGCAGAAAATGTTGGCATGGTCTCCCAATGGTCACCCAGACGATGATTTATTCATTTTTTCTCATGCTGGTTCCACCCGAACAGCCATTTCTTTGGGATAGAAGAATGTCCAGGTGATTCGCTGAAGGCATGGTGAATCACCGTGACAAATGGCCTTGTGAGAGATTATTTAGCTCTCACGAGGTGTTCGGCGTCAAAATCTGGTTTGCTTCTTGCTGCTGGTCTATGAAGAACCACTTAAAGAATTCAGTGAATCGAAGCTTCTCCTTTAGCAAAGACGCCGACAAGCTAACCCTCAAGTGCTTTTCCTGTCTTTTAAAAAAAACTAAGCGGCCTCGATCTGCTTTTCAGCCCTAAACTTCTCCTCAAATGCCGTTATATTAGGAAATGACGAGAAAGTGAAAATATTGACGAACTTGATCCCTCAACTGATTCAGCGAAACTACTCATAATGTAAACTTTCTACTGGAAGGAAAAGCCAATCAGTGCTTGATTCGGTAAAGCTTTATCAGAGTGGTAGATACAGTCGTAATGATACAATCCGAAGGAATAGTTGCTGAGTTTTTCGATAGACATTTTTGGAAGTGAGCTTGGGTAAAAATCGGTATTGCTCGTTCGAATTAGCTACTTAGTTCGTCCATAAAGGGAAAGTGCTGGCAAATCTAGTGTGCCTTTTCTTTGTAGGTCTGAATTCACACTGCAGACCATTCTCAAGAGAGCTCCCTTTGTTCGAAAGGTCCTTCTATAGTACAGTCCGTAAGCTGGCAAATGGAAAATGTAATGAGAAATAGCTAAATGGCTTTGTCCTCCTATCGGCTCCATCGCTCGCTGGAACCATTCGATGCTTAGAGCGATTCGGTGGGAGATGAATTTTTAGAACTATTGCCTCTCCATTTTTCGAAATGATGGGCATTGAAAAAGTAAGAAATTTACCCTTCAATATGACCTATAATAGAATTCCTGTAAAATGTTGATGTGAATTTTTGAAAAATCCTTTCGAATTTCGTTCCTCCTCTGTCAAGTGAAGAAGTGGGAGGGCGCCACATTTCCATGCTTGATACATTTCCACTACCTCGGCAGTTCTCTTTTGTTCCCGAGTTTTATATGGTCTTTTCTATGCGAAAAAAACTTTTTTAATGGCTTGTGAGTCCTAAGCCCATGACTCTGTAATTTACATAACGTAAAATGAAATGCAGGTGGGGGGTGGTGTAGTGAGAAGTGACGCAGTATCTCACCCGGATCGGTACTAACCCTAGACTGACTTATACATCGGACGGCTACCGCAAGTCATTGTATAAGCCACACAGCATCTAACCTCCACTAGGATTCTGACTGGGAGTCCAAGGGGAGAGGGAGTGGGAGGAGGACATTCCGAGAACGGGATCGATTGACGCCAAAGACTTTTTAGACCTCAAATTAGATAGCATATTACTCGCAAGAATGAAAATACGCTTTTGGCTTCGCTTTTCTCTCTCTTTTTTTGAAAATTAAATGTATAAGTTACCCCTAAACGTCCCTTTCGGTCTTTTCTGTTGGACTAATCAGTAAGTTCCAGGAAAAAACAGTTCTCCATTACTGTTGTAAAATTGAAATTCGTTAATGGTAACGCTAAAACCTCTACAACGTACAATTTAACGATGTGGAGAAAAACTCTGCACCATTAACTTTTTTTTTTACAAATCAGTGCTGGAACGAATGGTCGTTTTTAGTGGATACAGAAATGGAACCAACTCGAGATGCCGCTAAAATCAATTAGTTGGGCTTGACCACTACAGGAGCTGTCACAAGGGAATGGGACAGAAGGAAAACAACAAGAGGCCTCATTTGGAAACGCACCGGGCCTCAGAGAACTCAAGGAAGTGCTACCCGTGAAAGCTATTAACTCCAAGCCCTTTTTACAATCTCGATTATGAATACAAAGGGCTATTACTGGGGATAGGTGTGACTAAGAAATGCGTAACTTTCAGATTTCATCGTTCTCGGAACCCCATTAAAAGCATGGCTTGCGAGTATGATTGATTGGCGACAGAATGAGAAACTACGTTTTCCATAAAAGGCATTTGAATGGAATTTTATTTCTTGAATTCTCGTTATGGAGGTAATGGGGTATGACGCACTTTGTTTCGACTACCTCCATATTCTTCGCAAAAAAAGAATTCGAAGGGCATTCCGATAATTTTGAAACCAAGTCAGTTCCATTTATTATGCGTGAGATTCAAAAAATCTATCCAAAAAACTATCCACTTTCCAACAGATCGCAGGTACACGGCGCATCCACTGGACATCTCACCGTTTTGTCTTCTGCCGGCGTGGTAATCTGTGAATAGCATACTGTAAAAGCTTGCGCGTACATCTCGTCAACATCTCATTTGACAGCATTTTCGAGGCCCTTAGGGGGTGGCGCATGGCCTTTTAGGCCACTTTCGGGTAAGTGAGGACAGGTTTTACGACAGATCGCGTCACACTCGCTCGTCCGCTTATAAATAGGCCAAATCGGCGACCTGGAACGTCATCACACCTCCACCTCTTTCTCCTCATTATTTCCTCTTCACCGTATGAAGAGGCTTCAGCGCTTACTTCTCTGTCTTAATAGCCGTTTTATGGTTTTTGAGCGACTTCGAGCGTAGTTTCCCGCTCAGCGATCTGAGCCTTTTTATACAATCTCAAGTTGGAAGGTTTGAAGGTTATCTTGAAGCAGAAGCGCTGGCAAACGACTACATCCCCCTCGCATTGTCTTCCCGGGAAAAGGTGGAGGCTTTTTCTAATAGCGGCATAAGCTTAGAAGTGCCTAATGACTTAACTTAACAGGGGCAAGGGCCAAGTCTTGCTGACCAGCTTTCCCTAAAT